CTTACAACACTAGAAACCGGGTTTCGGTATACCCATGTGGGCAGAGCACAGATAGCACATTGTGTAGCTTTGTGCTTAACTACAAACAAACAAACAATACAAACGGCAAGTGACAAGTAGTCCGTAAAACAGTCGATGGGTTAACAGTTATTAATTATAATTACCTATATTTCCAATTGCTAAGTAAATGTGATAGAGGTTTAATTATTTGGATTCTTTATATTTTTTATTCTAATTTAATTTTCTAAAAATCCTAGTGGCCAAACATCACCAACCCAAGAACTTCAGTGGAAACACTAGAGCCTGGTCAGATTTATGCAGTGTCACAGGCAACATTCTATCAGCTTTGAACTTCACAAGTTTTTCCGGTTTAATAGAGTAATTTCTGCACAAAACAGAGAATACGTGAACATAAATATTTACAGGACTACCTGAATACAACATCCCAATCAAAACTTGAGGCAAATAAACATGTGACTGCGTTTTAAAATTTGTCCGCATAGAATCATAAACCTGGGGTGCTAGATCTATATTTTATTAAGAGTGAATATAGTTTGCCCCACAAAGGACCGTACGTTATGTCAATGACATTCTTGTACTCTTGCCTATTGACAACAGTGCATCTTAAGCCAGCAATATATATATTTTCAATGTTCAACAAAAACCAAAGAGTAAGATATAATTGACCTTTTCTTCCTGGTTTACTAAACCCACTCCCTCCAGTTTGCTAAATAATCTATTTCATGGTTGAATGAAAAATGTAGGTCACAAGTTTATAAACTTCTTTTCTCTTGGGCCTCCTAAAGCAACACATGTTTGACCGCTAGGGCATCTACTCAATTAGTGAACTAAGAAAATAAACTATAGATGACTGGGTTTATTTTTCTGGTGTTCAATTAACTGCAGAGAAAAGGAGCATTTGTTTTATGGTTCATTAAGCTCTAGAGATCATTCGTCAATTCGTCATTCGCTTTTAACCATTAATCATCAGAAACAACTCATCTTATACTTTCCGAACATGCTCTCTACGGTTTAATAAATACCATAATTAAGAAACATCCATCGCAGTGTATTTCTTTTTCTGACTTCTCGGATTAGAAAAAAAAAACCAAAATAGCAGTGTCTGCATCCTTTTGTCGCTTCTAACATCATCCACGAGTTCAATGCATTTGCAGAACAAGTTGAAATTTTATCAGATATCTGAGAACTTACTGTATTATAGTAGAGACAGAGAAAGACAGAGAATTACAGATGAGGGTGGATGTAAATTCCAAATGGTGCTGGTAGACTACAGTGTGCATAAAATGGAAGTGATACAAATGCAGTCGTTAATTTTTACGCAGATTTTCAATCAGAAAAGGTTTACTAAAAACAAGAATACAGAGATAAAGTTCGTAATAACAACAACATACATTATATTTACTGCATTAATGACATAAATACTGAAAGATACCAACTTGTTGAAGTAAAAACAAGCGTACATTGGCTTGACATTTGGGTTTCAGTAGATATTATAAGTACTGTTTACCATTATACAAATCTCTCTCCCAACATAGCTGTACTGTTCATCTACATTTATTTTTTGAGTTAGCACTAATCTTAAAAGAAACTATCATAATAATACAAAAGACAGATTATGGTTGAACTAAACATTGATTTATAGTGAAGAGTGCTGCTAATTTAGGCTTGGGGCAGGCACAAGATTCTGGCTTGACTGGCTAACATGGTGGCTAACTCAGAGAGCAACTAACTGATTCACTTATCTTTAGCGTCGGATTTTATATTATGTGTCTCTATGCAAGCATCACTGGCTATCATTCAGTAAGTTCTTTTTTGTTTTTTCTACTGGATTATCCCGATATTTTTCTGAAATGAAATGATGTATAAAGTAGCAGGAAATTGTCTATGGGATTCTTCACAAAGAACTCGAGGTAGTTGTTAAACAATAAAGTTCCTTGTGGGAATCGTAACATTCTGGAACGTCAATCATTGAGTCTGCCACCCATTTCACCACTCATCACCTTAGTAATTGCTGTCTAAGTTATTTCAACCCCTTCTCATAAAAAACTTTCTCTATTAACGATTCCTCTGTTAACATATCCTTTCCTATATGATCTCAGGCTAAAGTGATGGTTATTTTTCACTGAGAACTGTGCATTAGTGTGACATCAACTATGACAACCGATTCCCAAATGTTAGTTTTAAAAGGACTTTTCAGCCTGTCGCTGATAAAAACGGTCGTTAAATTTTTACTTGTAAATAATTACGAAATATGTACGGTTCTAAACAAAGTTATCTGATATATATATATAAATATTCTTTCAATTTTCTAACCTTTCCCTTGACCTTACTTTTTAAATCCTCGGTACAAGCGGACTCTCAAAGGTAAAATGTTTAATGCGAAACGTCTCTCACAAGATGTGAACACGATTACTGACACCAAGTAACAACGCATGCTCTTTTGTCCTCTTCTTCAGTCCTGCAAAACTAGCGAAGTACTTTAGACTCATTGATAAGTGAAGAGCGTTAGGATTGTGTGTTATATCGTGTCACTAGACATGCACGTGAAGAAACCAACAATAGTAAAGCTGCTGCACAGCTCACGTTCTACAAATTTCACAAATGCTTAAAATGAAAATTTTCGCTATCGTTTGTAAGATTTTATGTAACTGAGCAATTTATGTGCTGACGAAGAAAACCGATTCCAGAAAGCGATCCAGCGTCTGTCTCTTCCTTATAAATACAAAGGTAAAGTGATATATCTATAGAAGGCAATTAGTAAAAAAAAAAAGAGACATTAACTTTGTTATTTTACGCTTGTAATTATTCTTGATATATCAATAAATCTCATGCATATCTATTTATTTATCTATGCTGGAACACAAAGTTTGGCTAGCTGATTCGCCAGTTCTTGTGAGTGAAAGTAAAGTTAATTCAATTAAAATAGTAATAATAAATATAAATAGTGTTAAAATAAAAATATAATAAGTGTATTATGAACTTTTACCATAAAAACTTGCTTTGTAAAGTATTTTGAATAAACTTAATAATAATTACAATTCACTTACTTAATCTCGTTCACACCATAACAGTTGATATGTATTTATATATAGATAGATATACAGAGAACCTGGGACCAATATTATGTTTGTAGTTGCCCAGCTGGCCTGATGATTGATATATTGTAAAATATTCTTATTTGTTTTCAGTCTTCGGATTTACAACGCTAAAATCAGGGGTTCGATTTCTTTCTGTGGACACATAAGAGAGCCCGATATGGCTTTCCTATAAGAAAAAAACACAAAAAAACAATAAAAAACCTTTGCTTTCACTCATGTTAGTTCGTGTTGGTTTTGTTACATACAGACAGTACTGAATATTGTAGTCAAATAATCTACATAAATAGGTTTCGTTACATGTAGACAGTACTGAATATTGTAGTCAAATAATCTACATAAATAGGTTTCGTTACATGTAGACAGTACTGAATATTGTAGTCAAATAATCTACATAAATAGGTTTGTTACATATAGACAGTACTGAATATTGTAGTCAAATAATCTACATAAATAGGTTTTGTTACATATAGACAGTACTGCATATTGTAGTCAAATAATCTACATAAATAGTTTTTACAGGTAGATAGTACTACATATTGTATTCAAAGTAATTTACATAAATAGGTTTTGTTGCATGTAGACAGTATTGCATATTATAGTCAGATAATCTACATAAATAGGTTTTGTTACATATAGACAGTACTGCATATTGTGGTCAAATAATTTACATAAATAGGTTTTGTTACATGTAGACAGTACTGCATAATGTAGTCAAATAATCTACATAAATAGGTTTTGTTACATGTAGACAGTACTGAATATTGTAGTCAAATAATCTACATAAATAGGTTTGTTACATACAGACAGTACTGCATATTGTATTCAAAGTAATTTACAGAAATAGGTTTTGTTGCATGTAGACAGTATTGCATATTATAGTCAGATAATTTACATAAATAAGTTTTGTTAAATGCAGACAGTACTGAATATTCTAGTCAAATAATCTACATAAATAGGTTTTGTTACATGTAGGCAGTACAGCATATTGTAGTCAAATAATCTACATAAGTAGGTTTTGTTACATGTAGACAGTACTAATATTGTAGTCAAATAATCTACATAAATAGGTTTTGTTGCATGTAGATAGTACTGCATATTGTAGTCAGATAATCTACATAAATAGGTTTTGTTACATATAGACAGTACTGCATATTGTAGTCAAATAATCTACATAAATAGGTTTTGTTACATGTACACAGTACTGAATATTGTAGTCAAATAATTTACATAGATATGCATTATGTGTTTGTCTTTCTTATACGTTCAACGTATAGGATGGGCCAGAGCAGTATTGTAATTATTTTTAACGCTCTTCTATTTAAAACTTATGCACGAGTGTATGTGACCAGTACATATGTATAGCATACAGATCGTCGAAAAAAACCAACGATGATTTTAGTGGTGCAAGTCACAGATTATCTAAACAGAAACTATTATATATGTAGAAATAAGATACAAATAACAGTTCTGCGAAATCAGTAAACAAATATCTGTGTCTTTATAAAATCATAACTTTTGGGATGAAAATCCGAAAGGGTTGTAAGTGCGTATTTAATAAAACCAGGGTTTCTCAAAATAATAAGTATTATTCAGGAAGGATGTGTTCTGCTATCTGCATATTTCAAATCCAGTCGCCATATAAAACTGCATCAATGATATAGTGTGACTAGTGGCGTTAAATACTTTATAACGTTACGTATTATAAGACAGTAGAATTAATTGGCATGTTCTTATAAATACACATACATATATATATATATATATATATGTATGTATGTGCGGAAGGCTTCATAATATGTGAACTCCGTTAAATGCTTGCTTATATATTCACTACCTGTGAATGAATGGAGTAATATAATTATGATTATGTTTCACAGCTGTCGTTGTTTAATTTTCAAGAGGAAATAAATTACATCGAATTTCTTTTTCAATTAAACTTATTAACATTAACTCACACTTCCACAAAATAATTGCTATTACATAAATCTGTGAATTGCCGATAGTTCTATAATATACTTCCATATTGCACGCTAAAGTTTATGCTTATTAAATAACTTTATTGTTCATTAGGACAATATGTAATCCGTTGAAGTTGGTCGTAATGTATTGAAGGTAATACGTTGTTAGATAAAAGAGAAGTAGATGTTTTTATAATCCAATTAAAGTTTGTTTTTATCGTAATTACAAAACACTTATTTCATACGAATAATTCTTAATTTCCAAGTATTACTTTAGTAGGTAAAGAAAGCGAATCTTCAGAAAGTTTTTTAATGGAGTTCATAACTTAATTTGATGAAAATAAAAGTTCAAAATAAAGAGCACAGAAACGTTTCTGTTTGCTTGTTGTTGTTGTGGATTATGAAATTTTGAATGCATTAAAGAAATTAATTCGAAATCATTTGAATGTAATAAATATGTATAATAGTACGACCTTGTACTATAAGCTGGAACAAAGGTTATAAATTGAATACGTTTTCTGTATTTAAGGACTTTTGCCTAGTTTAATTTTTTTTTATTTGCTGGAAATTTCTGAGGCAACAAATATTCTCTAGACGAAGCAATCGTATTACAGCATATTAATACTTTAAAATATTTATTTTTATGTAAGTCATAAAAATGAGTTATCATAGAACGAAAATAATAATAATAACTCAGAATATAATTTGTATTGAAAGTCCTCTGTTCAATAAACAAACCTTTAGCGTAGTTCTTAATTCTGAAGAAAAAATTATGTTCATTGATTGTGTTGAGACAATATCGTTCAGTAAAGACATATTAGCTTGTTGATATAGGATATTGCAGGGTTAAATTAAAAACGTCGTATTCTTCATCTCAAGTGTTCTACATTCTTATTTATTTAAAGTTTTACATTAATCTTATAAATGTATATTTTACTCGGAAGTCTAAATCTTATAAAATTATATATTTATAGAGAGGTTTTACAGCGTTTTTGTTTTCATTTCTGTTGTTGTTGTTGTCTCGTTAGTGCAAAGCTTCACTATAGGCTGTCTACATTCTATCAAACGCGGGTAATTAAGCCTCAGATTTTAGCGTTGCAAGTTTTTAAACTTACCGCTGATCTATCAGGGGGATTTTCATTTCTGTGTATTGCCATTTTTCGTTTTCAAATTATTTTTGCCGTATGCATATTTTTCTCTATATAACATAATTAATTCCGAATGAGCAACAATATGATTAGTTTGAGAATCTTAACACATGAACGAGTTATTGCAATTACATTTGCTATGTTCAGAAAAATGAAAGATTTCAGACGAACTAAATAGATGTTATGATGTTTTATTATTTCGGTTTTAAAGCAAAATTCACCTATACGACGTTACAGAAAGGTATCTCTGAAATATTTGAGAAAAAAGAACCCTAGTGTATAAACGCAAATAATATTTATAGCTAATAATTAATAGCTCTGTTACATAGCCATTGTGAAAACAAAAATATAAATTGTTTGTTTGTTTTTAATTATGCACAAAGCTACACAAGGGCTATCTGTGCTCTGCCCACCACGGTTATCGAAACCCGGTTTCTAGCGTTGTAAGCCCGCAGACATACCGCTGTGCCACTGGGGGGCCAAAAATATAAAACCTGTAATTAGATTAACAAAGTATCAGCAGTATGAAGTTTTGAAACACTATTTGTGGAATAGCTACTTTAAATGTTGTATGTCATCTTTTCTCACAGTTAGAGACGAAACATTGTACACAAATAAATCTATTATTCTATAAATAGCTGTTTTAAAACTTCATACTGATAATACTTTGTTTTGTCTATGATCAACATTGATCTAATTACAGGTTTTAACTCTTTATTTTTCACAATGACTATAGTGTATCAGAACTATTAATAATCAGTTAGAAATACTATTTGCTACATTTAAACACGATGACCAAACTTTGAAAAAATTAAAAGTATCATCTGGAAACAACCAGGCTAGTAGGTCTTTAAGATCTGTATACTGTTTATTAAACATTTCATGGATGGAGACAACAACAGCAAAAATACCCCCCCCCCCCAATATTTATCTTATATCAACTTATTGACGATATAGAAGCCAAAACTATAATCGTCTCAGAAGCAGTGGAAGTTGACAATCAGGTGGACTTCTATCAGAATATTGGATCCAATAAAAAACAACACTTTTTAGGATTCATGCGCACAAATTACATATTATTATTTGGGATGTGCACTACAAATATAGTAATTAATAATCTTTCACATTACTCACCTAATATAATTCTAGCACACGACTTGAATAGTTGTAGGCCTAAGACAACAATCACAACTGAGCAGTCTAATGTGTATATTATCACAAACTTGATTATTGGTTTTTAACGCATTGCTAGTTTGCGGAGGTTAATAATACTTATAACTCACACGCACTAAGTTATAAATCTTGTGCACAACTTAATAGTTCTTATTTTTCAAATAAACTACTTAAATAGTGATTATTAATTAGGCATCTGGTACTTGTAATTAATGCGCACTACGTAACTAGTACTTATATGTGATCCTTCCTCGTCATATAGTATATCATTTATTTTATTTAAATAGTATCGGTAACGCATGTGCCTACCACTTAAATCAATTTTGATTTACAATTTCACGCAAACGACTTCCAAATACTCTACTTTAGGACATTTAACAGTAGTTGGCCTACGGTAGTTTTCAATAGTTTGGTTTGACTTGTGAATTTCGCGCAAAATTACACGAGCCATCTCCTAATTCAGTAGTGATAGACTAGAGGGAAAGCAGCTAATCAACACCACCCATCGCCAACTCTTGGGCTACTCTTTTGGCCAATGAACAGTGAGATTGACGGTCACGTCCCCACGGCTGAAAGGGCGACCACGGTCGGTGACAGGGATAAGAACCCACGACCTGCAGGCTGCGAATCGAGAGCCCTAACTCTAAATAAATATTTCTTCTTTGATTTTAATATTTCAGTTATTATCACTTTAGAGCAATAAAAGGAAAGATGAAATAACTGTTGGTTAGAAAAGCTATGAATAGATACTTTTTAACACCAATCGAACTATCTAAAATCTTTTCAAATATATCACAAAATTTTAACTTGTAATAAAGATTACTTTGTTGTCAAGTTTAATGATATAAGTTATATGGAGACACTGATCAGATGTGGAAAAATTGTAAGATAATTTTTAAAAATTCTAGGTAAACATACTCCTTATACAAAGAAAAGGGTGACTGCAAGTAAAAATTCAAGTTGGCTTACAAAGGATACAAGAGACAAAATTAAATAAAAGCGTAATAAATTTAAGAAATTTAAATTGACTGGTATGATGGGAGATTTAGAAGATTATAAAAGATCAAGAAAGTTGGTAAAAGAGGAAATTAGGACATCAAAAAGGATCTATAAAAAAAGGTTGGCTGAAAATGTAAAAATTAACAGTAAGGATTTCTTTAAATACATTGCTTCTCCCAGTGGCACAGCGGTATGTCTGTGAACTTACAACGCTAGAAACCTGGTTTCGATACCCGTGGTAGGCAGAGCACAGATAACCCATTGTGTAGCTTTGTGCTTAACTACAAACAAAAAAATTAAATATATTAAGGATAAACAAAATGTTAGGATGGGAGTAGGATCTTTCAGGGATGATAAAGAAAGGATTGTATCTGATGATTATGAGATGGCTAGATTATTAAATTTTGTTTTTTCTTCAAAATTTACTAACGAAGATTTAAGCAGTATTCCACATCTTGAACAGTTGATAAATGGAAACAAGATCGAACAAGATGACTGCATTAATTCTGAGCTTGTTGAGAAAAAATTGGGAAGTTTAAAGAATGATAAGACTTCTTGGTCAGATAATATTACCACAAGGGTTTTGAAGGAGGTTAAGGATTAGATATGTGAGCCACTTGCTACTATTTTTTGTTAGTCCTTAAATATTGGGGAGGTGCCAAAATATTGGAAGTTAGCTAATCTCAGTCCTGTTTTCATGGGAGGTAATAACAATTGCCCCAGTAATTATAGACCCCTTAGTCTTACATCAGTTGTGGGAAAAGTTTTGGAAAGTCCGATAAAAGATGTTTGCCAAAACCTTTTAACAAAGTTTAGAATTTTATTGGATAGTCAACATGGTTTCACTAAGGGAAAATATTACCTTATAATTTTTTGACATTTCTTGAAAAGATTACTGCTTATGTAGATGAGAGCAAAGGTGCAGATTTGGTGTTTCTGGATTTTCAGGTGTTGCTACCTGTGAAAAGGATGCTGCTGCTTCACAAAAGGATTTAGATATTTTAGTGAGTTGGTCAAATAAATGGCAAATCAGTTTTGATTATAATAAATGCAAGATAATGCATGTGGGTTATCATAATTTGAATTATAAGTATAATTTGGATGGAAATAACATTAACAGTGTCATGAAAGAATGGGATCTTGGTGTAATAGCTGATTAAACTCTTAAGCCATCCAAACAGTGTGCTGTTGCTAGTGGTAGGATTTTAGGTTGCATCTACAAAAATATTGAATACAAGTCGAAAGGGATTATAATTTCATGGTATAGGTCACTGGTTAGGCTACATTTGGAGTATTGTGTTCAGTCCTGGGCTTTTTGCTTTAGGAAGGACATTGAATTG